TTGTCGCCTACCCATATTGGTGGCCTCCCAGATGAGCACAACACAATGGTAGTATAAAAAGCTAGAAAATGTGGCTCAAAAGTGAGAAAAACTAGATTTCTGTCAGAAAAACCAGCTTTTGGAGAGAGAAAAATAGAAAACTGGTTTTTCAAGGAAAAAGGTGGCCTTCCACCATACTACCACCTCCCTAACAATGAAAATAGGGTCCCTACCAAAAATGGGCCAAGACGGATGTAAAACAAAGGTTCGGGGGCCAAAACGCGCAGTCTGGGGCCCCGAAAACAGGCTGTTAGGCACTAGAAGTGGCGTATGACCACGAAGGTGGTCTCTCGGGCTACAGTGTCTCTCAAAAGAGAGGAAACAAGGTGTGTGCCAAAAACTGGAGCAAACGGAGGTAGTTAAGCGGTCCCGAATCGAGGCACACGGCCGACGGCTCCGAAAATCGAAAACTGGGCTCCAAACGGGAAAAATGGCCTACGACCACGAAACGTAGCCTACGGCCATTGAGAGATGGTCTACGAGACCTCTCCCTTCCTTCGGGAAGAGAAAACAAAGAAAACAGGACTTGGTTCGTAAACCGAGGTAAAGCACAAAAGAACCTCGAAGTCCGGAGGCAAGGCTCGCAGCCGAGACTCTGAAACCTCAGAACGAGCACAATATGCATCATCACCGAGCGCTCAATCGGTGACGTCTGAGTCTTAAGGTCGGTCAAAAATGGGGTGTCTACATGTACATGGGATGACGTCATCATATATGTAAATAAGTTATAAATTTTCTATCTCATATAAGTCTGCATAGCTCTATGGACATTGTATATTTGTATTTGCTTCCGCTATCCCCTTACTTTGCTAATCAGTTTTAGAGGGCTTCAGTAATCTTAGGATTACTGGCCGGTTACGATGCTAAACCTTTAAGGATGGGTTTGGATTGTGATGGAAATGTCCTCTCGATCGCCTCCTTATGTCTTCCATAATCATTGGATAAAATCACTTGTAAATAGATATCTCTATAGATAAGGTATTCTTATATGTGTTTGAATTGTAGAGGAATTGACTTGGTTGAGGTTTTGTTTTGGGTATACACTGTGAAATGTAGAGTATCAGATTTCATTGATGCGAAATTTTCATATTTTTACCAGTAATTGGAAAAAGGTATAGTTTTCTAAAGGAATGTGAAATTTTAATAGTAAAACGAGAAGAGAGTGAGAGTGAGGCTAGTGAGGTTGATATTGATTGTTGTGTTGAAGATTTGAAGAGCATTAATCTTCAAAGTCTTGAGGATTTGTGTTTTAAGGCTCTGGATTACATTTAACAATTAGAATCAGATTCTTGGATATAGTTCCAAATTGAAACAGATAATAATGTAATTGAAAAAAAAAACAAATAAATAAAATTTAGAGGAAAAATTGAATAGATAAATATAATTTATGGGGAAAATTGAATAGATAAATAGAATTTAGGAAAAGAATTGAACAAATAGATATACTTTAGGATAAAAAATTAAACGGATAGACAAAAAATTTTAACAAACATAAAAAAAAATAGATAGATATAAATTTGAACAGATAGTAAAAAAAGTCAAACAGATAAAAAAATCAAAAGATAAAATTAAAAACAAAATGTTCTTTAGGACTTCTCACCAAATTATTTCACAAAACGTAAACCTTTCATCAATAAAAAATTTCCCTCGAACCTAATACCTTATGCCCTTCCCTTCCTAGATTGGATGTATCACCAATTAACCCATAAATAAAAGGTAGAAAAAATTTGTCACAGAGATCAAATTACATGACAAGATGAATTCTTCAATTAAGGAAATTTGAATGCAGTTAAAATGCCTTTTCATCTTTTACTACTTTATTATATCAAAAATAACATTTTTGTCATTGAACAGTAAAATGAAAATTATTACCCCAATAAAGCTCCAGGAAAAAAGGAAAAAAAAGTTTAACTATTCACTGTACACAAATCAATTTTATGCTCTGCCATTAATGGCGCCACAGACTCCGGTGACCACTCTCCGCTGAACTGTGGTTTCTCTTCTCGATCTAAATCGGTAGAAACTTCTAGAACTATTGTTTATCAAAACATAAACCACATATCATACATACATATTATACAAATATACATATACACACATATATACATGAGAGAGAACATCAGATCTGGGCTTCTCCACCCCATCCTCATCATATTTGTTATTTTCGGCTTCAATGGCCTTTGGAGAGGTGGAGATCTGGTAGACGATGATGGAAGAACTGTATATATGTATATATACACATATATACATGAGAGAGAGAGAGAACATCAGATCTGGAAGACGATACAGAGAAAACAGAGAGAGAGAGAAAGGATCACCATTTTTGTGTTCGAGAGCTTTAGTTGTAAGTAGAGAAGCTAGAAAACCCTAATTGGAGAAGCCCTAGTGGTGAAGAACAGATCTGGATCAACTCCATCGCCCCATCTCCAGCTCTCGCCGTCGACGATCGAAGCACCAAGGTGACGAGTCTTTGCCGCTATTACCAAACCCTCCCAGGTCAAGGTCCACCTCTATCGGCGGGGCAAAGGTCCGATCGACGTATTCAAGTCGGGTTTGCGAGTAGGACCAGAACGAGCTTGAAATTGGAGACATCCTCGACAAATACGGCTTCAAATTGGTCTCTTCCGCCATAGCTCCCATCGGTCAGGTTTGTTTTTAACTCTAAGCTTCATTTACAGCCACCTAAGATAGTTGAGCAATTGGGGCTTTGATTTCAAACCCTAACCCTAAGAATGAATATATGATATTAAGTTTTGTTCTTAGCCAAAATTAATATTTTTAATATTTGTAGCCACTCAAGATAGCTTTGATATTGGGACTTTGATTTGAAAACCCTAATCCTAAAGAAGGAAGATATTGAATATCTGATATTAAGCTTTTTGCCGCCTAGGGCGAAAAAACTAAACGAGGTTCGGTTTTTTTCCCCCCCTTACATTATAAACTGAGGTGATGCTTTTTCCCAAAAGGTTTGAAAACTAGTGCAATATCTTTAATTGATACACATGTCACGTAAAGTTTAATAACTTTCCTCACATTATTGTTTTTTGAGTTCAACCTTCTTATAAAACTAGTATTGATGTTCGTGATGTACATTTTTGAGTTCAACCTTCTTATAAAACTAGTATTGATGTTCGTGATGTACATTTAGTAACATGTTTGTGTAAATATACGCAACACTTTTTTTTGTTGAAAAATCAAGGTAGAGTTCAAAAATCATGATTAGTGCAAAGAGATTTTGAAGGCTTGATGTAAACAAATTCATTCTCAGCTCAAAGTCCTGCAAGTCCTAAAATTTCCTCATATGAAACCCTTTCGATTCCTCGCTCTCTCTCTAAAGATTGTCTTTTTCTTTGTTTTCTCAAATGGGTCCTGTTCGCGTTAAGTGGCACAGCCAGCCACCTCCAAGACCACGGCAGCAAGTCAGTCTAGGCGGGCATACCTGACGTTCTTAGCCGGAGACGGTGACTACGTGAAGGTCGTGGTGGGGCTCGCAAAGGGCTTGAGGAAGGAGCACCGACGTGTGTTGGTGGCTCAGGGATGTATAGTTCGACAGATCGAACCAGTGTACCCACCCGAGAATGGGACAAAGTTGGCCTGGGATCAACTACTTCAAGCTTCGCATCTGGGAGGTAACTCTTTATCTCTAATTTTTATACTATGAAACACAATAAATTATTTCATAAGTGTTAATTTGACAAAGAAATTTCGTTACATAGAAAAATTGGTATAGAATGAGATCAAAGTAGTTCAATCATTAAAAGGAAAATAAATTGGTATAGAATGAGATTAAATTACCAGTAAGCGATTGGAAGCAATGGAGATTGAAATTATCAACTTGAAGAAGTTCGATCCCTAAACATCCCACCATCGGCAATAGCTGCTGAGAGATAGCGTGCATCGAATGCCATAAACTCGCCAATCTCAAGCTATCGTTCGTAGCCATCCGTCCCGCACAGCCGTAATCCTAAACATTTTCCCCAATCCATGTCCATAAAATTCCAAAAAATTTTAGCAAGATTAAAATCGGTGCTCTATTTGCTAATATAGAAAAATATTCCCGGAAAATCTCTCTCGCAAAAGAAACACAGGGGGGAGAGAGAGAGAGAGAGAGAGAGAGAGAGAGAGAGAGATTTAGGGTTTGACCTTGTAGAAGATGAGGCCTCCTGATTTATTGATGATGTAGAGGCTGTAAATAGAGGCCATTTTTTGGGTTAAAGAGAGAGCTTTGCTAATTGCTTTGATGGAAAGGAAGCTATTTTGGATTGTTCTGTTGTTGCTTTGCTTTCTTCTGTACTCTTTTTAGTGTAGAGTTGAATGGAGATACCCATGAGTTATGGGTCAAGTTGGGTCGGTCTGCTATCTATGCAAGCTCAACCTAGTATTAGCCGTATTAGAATTTCTACAGAAAGCTGACAATTATGCAGGACCAAGGACCAAACAAAATGGGTCCTCTTCTCCTCAGGTCATGGCCCACAATTATACTTGGATTGTACATCGCACCCAAATGATGCATTAGTTAGGCTCTTAGGAATTGGATTGTTAGATTAGATTTGTCCATCTAATTAGTCCATGCACTTTGAATCTGAAAGATTTTAAATACATTCATAAAATTCCTAGTATTAGCCGTATTTTCATTTTTTTTTTCTCTTTTTAAATTTTTATTTAGATATTCATGTTTTGAACACAATGAAATTGCTTTTGAGAGAGTGAAAAAGGGAAGCCCGGGTCAATTATCTGCACCATAGCCCATTGCTGAAGTTGAGTTCTTTTGTGATTTGTTTATGAGGCAATCTTGGCTTAACCTTGACATTGCTTTATTCAAATTGATGATAGTACACGTCCAATCTTTAGGCCTATCTTATCTTTGAGAAGTTGTTGCATATGATTTTTATTTGGATTGAAATCTATCGGTCATTAGTGATTTGGACAGATTATGAGTCCTCTAGTAATCATGGAAGGCACAAAAATAACGTGAGACATTAGATAGAGAGAGAGAGCTAAGGCAGTCTTAGTGATTTTACTTAATTTTATTTTTGGTGGGTAGAAATAATTTTTTAAAATTCAAAAATAGTTTTTTGACATTTTTTTTTTTGTGTCAAATTAGTTTGTATTTTATCAAATTGACGACTTTGTCTTTGAAATTGAGTAATGATATCTTCAATTGTCCTTATTTGAAATAAGATTCAAAATTTAAAGTCAAATGTGTCATAATTGAAAAGTTACGGACCAAAGTGTCACGAACCCCAAACTATAGGGATTGTTAATGTAATTTGGCCTTGATTTAATCTTGGATATTCTTTTTCATTTTGAGAGTTATATTTGTGTAATAAAAATAATAATAATAATAATAAACTTCTACATCATTTTTGGATTACTTTAGCTATGATCAACCTTGTCTTGGGGAGGTTTTGAGCTCAATAAACTAGGGATATTGAGCATCATTAATGCCATGTTTATTTCTTGAATGTATTGAACGAAAAGAGAAAAAGAAGATAAAAGTGAATAAAATATAAGATAAATTTTTAATCAATTTTTCCTCTTTTTTTTTCTTCTTTTTTTTTTTTTTTTTTTTTTTTTTTTTTTTTTTGTTCTCTACAAATCTCTGCATGAATCTAAAACTCAAACACAACCTTAGAAAATGAGGAAGGGAGATCTAATTAAAAACAAAATTTGCTTGGCACAGTAATTCCATATTATTTTTCTTGTTATTATTGTTATGTTTTTAAACCATGTGGGTTTCCTCCACATCCATGATTGTGGTAACCAACCTGAAGAGGTCCCTAGGCCCTAAGAAGTTCAAACAAGGAGATTAAGAGGGGATGATGTGAATTGCCACATAAGAAGTCCAAATACATGTACTTACAAAGTGATCACCTAATGAATCACTTCCACCAATTTGAAGTGTAGAGGACTGTTAAAATTAGTACAAGCATAAGCTACCATGTGAAATGGGGAAAATGACCACTCAAACTCAAACATGTATTTTCAAACTAATGAGCTTCTGACATTATGTCAAGTGATATTTTCCTCCAAAAGAAGCTCATAAGCTCTTTTAAACCCTTTTTATTTGCTTGGCTACTTAATTTCACTTGTGGATCTTCTTTTTCGTTTTGAAAGTTTATTAATTCTAATAGACTTCTCAATTATTTTTGGGTAACTTCAACTATGATCAACTTTGCCTTGGGAGGTTTTGAGCTCAATAAAATTAAGGATATTGGGTGCGTTTGATTCGCTGGATTAAGGGGATTATTTGCTGTTCAGATTGCTTATCCAATGGAGGGGAATGTCCATCATTTGGTTTTAATTTTAGTCTGTCGGACATGGAGTCCGGCCAGACTCCATATCCCTCATATGAGGGACTAAACAATCCCCCGGGGGGGAGAATTATTTTCATGGAATTGGTATCCCATAAGATTAATGTGTGAAATGTCCATTTTATCCTCATGCTATTACTTAGTAAACAATTGGAAAAGGGTAAAAAAAATCTTTTTAACATTTATAAATTATTTTTTTAGTGTTGTTCACTTAAAATTATATATTAAATAAATATTAAAAATTAAAAATTCAATTTAATTAAAAATAAAAAATTAAAAACTATGGCCTTATAAATTAATTTTTTTTTGTGTTGTTAAAAAATTAAATTTATATATTAAATTAAATTATTTTTTTAGTGTTAATTTAAAATTATATATTAAATAAAAAATATAAATTATAAATTATAAATAAAAAATTATGGCCTTATAAATTAAATTTTTAAAAAAATTAAATTTATATATTAAATAAAATTATTTTTTTGTCTTGTTAATTTAAAATTATATATTAAATTAAAAAGTTAAATTTATATATTAAATAAAATTATTTTTTTAGTGTTGTTAATTTAAAATTATATATTAAATAAAAAAAACATAAATTATAAATTATCAATTAAATTTAATTAAAAATAATAAATTAAAAATTATGGCCTTATAAATTAAAATTTTTTAGTTTTAAATTATAAATTATAAATTGCAAATTACAAATTACAAATTATATATTAAATAAAAAATATAAATTATAAATTACGAGGGTAAAACAGTCTTCTGTACATTTATCTTTATTCAGTCCGTCCAACTAAACATTAGATTCATTAGAAATAGTCCTTTCTAAATATCTATTCCTGTGAGAAAACATACATGAGATACTCATCCAATCTAACCAAATAGTCTGGGAGATTTACAGTTTCAGAATTCAAGTCTTTTGAATTTTAATCCTCCCTTATCCAGTTCGTTTAATCAAACACACCCATTGAGTATATTGTATTTGTACATTGAGATGAAAAAAAAAAAAATTAAAAAAAAAGAAGAAGAAGAAGATAAAAGTGGATAAAATATAAGATATATATTTTATCACTTTTTCAATCTTTTTCTTTTATCGCTACAAATCTCTTCACAAATTTAAAATCCAAACACTGTCTTAGAAAATGATGAAGGGAGATTTGATTAAAAACAAAATTAACTTGACATAATAATTCCATTTATTTCTCTTATGCTACTAAACCATGTGGGTTTTCCTCCTAATATATAAGACAACATTTTTATTTTATTTTTTTGGAGTTATATAAACTACTTATTTCATTGCTAGCACATGACTCCATCCCCTATAAAAACTGCCAAAAACAAGAGAGCGGTAGAAGTTCTTTCTGGAAAAACTTTTGTACAAGAGAAAAAGACTAGCTAGCTAGCTCTGCCCATCCAAAGATGATCATATGAACAAGTGAAATCCAATTTCCATTGCCACGGTTTCTAATTTTATGAAGATTGTGATTGTCATTTGAAAGCCTTGAAAATTGCATTTTCAAGTCACTTTTCACTACCTCTTGCTTGTCTTCTTCTCTATCCTCCTCGGCATTGTTCTTTGCATTCATTTCTTTGTTTTTTTCTTAAAGAACAGCATAGAGCCCCATAACGATCAAGCCAGACCTTACAACACTGATAACAAACCACAAAAAAGAATGATCAATCTATTTTGAAAGTGCTATTGTTGTTAATTCAAAGTAGGTCATAGAATAACATGAAATGAATGTCGATTCAAGTTAAAAAAATAAAACGGACGTTCCAACATATAATTTCTCTTCAAGAAGGCCCCAAACTAAGAATCGCCATGATAACGAGCAGTAAGGGATTGAACACTGAGACATGCAGAGGACCTTGTCTCTGGATGATGCACCATGACATTAGGCAAAATGCTGCTGTAGTATACACAATTCCCTTAAATACACAGTTTTAATGATTTTGTTATTATTATTAGTGATTGTTTCAATTCACTTCATGTTTTCATATAAATTGTACATTTTACTTTAACACTCAGAACTAAAAATGAAAGGATTTAAAACAAATTTTTTTTGTATTTCCTTCAACTATTATAATCACCATGAGTCTTTTATAGAGAGACTATTAATATTACTCGATTCTAGACAATATCAATTTGTATATTAATAAATATAACTATTAAAAAATTTTGGTTGCGTTTGGTAGAGTTTTGTAATTATGATTTGAGAGTATGAGTTGTATTTTGAGTTTGTGAGGTTTGGAATTATGATTTGAGTGTGGAAAATTTGTTTGGTAAAGAGTTTTGAAAATAGTTTTGAAAAGAGTTTTGAATTGAGTGGGGAATTGTTGATGTGACATTTGATATTTGATTCAAAATTTACAACTCATAACCAAACATACAAGTCAAAATTATTTTAAAGCACATATTTTTTTTTAAAAAATTCAGAAAATATTTTTTTCAAATATATAAAAATTAACATATCACAAAAAAAAAAAAAAAAAAAAAAAAAAAATTTCACTATTCTGGTCAACCAGTGGGATGACCGGTTAGGCAAAATTTGTAAAAAAAAAATTCCGAAACTCGCACCTGGTACAGACTTCTCTGCAGAGTTTTGGAAACGTGTTTCCAAAACACGTTCCAAACATCATATTCAAAACTCGGTGTAGAATCACATTTTGAAAACATAACCAAACAGAGCCTTAAAGTTCAGGTATTACATATCTCATAAATATTTGAAAGGGCTCGAATCCTGGGTGTCAACGACCAAGCAGAAATGTTATGATTGGCACAGAAACCGATAATCTCACATTGAACGGTCGCCATTAAACATATTAATGTTGATGTTGTGTATGGTGCTGCATATTTCTCTCATTTTCGCCTGAAAAATTCAATCATAAATTAATAATATCCCCCCTCCAAAAAAAAAAAAAAAAAAATCAAAATTATTAACGAAGGTATTATGCGATATACTAATTAGAAAATGGTGACTATAACTAATCGTAAGCCTAACTAACTATAATTTTATGGCCTGCTTGTTTTAATGAAAACATTTTAAAAAAAAGTGTGTTCCAAAAATTTGTATCTACAAACTCTAAAAATGATGGGCGAACAGTGTTGCTAGTGGTAGTGGTGGTGGAGACATCGTAGGGTGGTGGTAATGGTGATGGTTGTGTGAAAGCTCAATTCATAGCTGCTAGAGCTAAATCTAAGGCTACCACCTTAATTGTTCTAGTAGCTCCTTTGATTTAACGTAGGGAGAGTGGAAGCTCTATAGGATAATAGCTTTGTGCTATTTTGGAGCTACATAGGAAGAGGTAGCAGCGATTGGCTACTAGCTCTGCCTTTGCTATTAGATCTTGTTAGGTCTTTAGGTGCTGTAGCTCTAGGAGAAGAGCAACTATCTTGCGAGAATTGTGGATCCTTGATATTTATAGAGTGGTGGTAATGGTGATGATCATGGTGGTGGCGAGGTTAGTCTAAAGCTATAGCTCCTAAAGTACTAGCAAAAGCAAGGCTAATAGCCAGCTACTGATATCTTTTCCTATATAGTATAGCTTCCAAATAGCCCAAAGCTATTATTTTATAGAGCTTCCACCCTCCTTGTGCTAAATCAAAGGAGCTACAGAACAGTTAAGGTGGTAGCCTTAGATTTAGCTCTAGTAGCTAGGAATTGAGCTTTTAAGCTTTTGCACAACCACTATAACGATCACCATTACCACCACCTTACAATGTCTCCACCACCACTATCACTAGCACACCGTTAGCTCATCATTTTTAGAGTTTGCAGATACAAATTTTTGAAACACATTTTCTCGAAAATCGTTTTCAGTAAAACAAATGGACCATAAAGGTATAATTAGTTAGACCTGCGATTAGTTATAGTCACTATTTTGCAACTGGTATATTGCATAATACTTTGGTTAATAATTTTGATTTTTTTTTTTTTTTTTTTGTGTGTGAATATTATTGATTAATGATTGAATTATTCAGGCGAGAATGAATGAGAAGTATGCAACACCATACACAACATTAACACTAATATGTTTAACGGCGAACGTTTAATGTGGGATTATCGGTTTCTGTGCCAATCATAATATTTCTGCTTGGTCGTTGACACCCGAGATCCGAGCCCTTTCAAGTATTTATGGGGTATGTATTGTCTGAACTTTAAAGTTTTTAATAGTTATATTTATTTATATTGTCTAGTATCGACTAATATTGAGTCTCTTTGTTAAAGACTCATGGTGATTATAATAGTTGAAGGAAATACAAGATTTTTTGTTTTAAATCTTTTTATTTTTAGTTTTGAGTAAGTAAAATGTACAATTTATATGAAGATGTGAAGTTGATTGAGACGGTCACTAATAATAATAATAAAACCATTCAGTGTGTTTGGTTTGAGTTTTTTGAAAATTGAGTTTTTTGGTTTTCGCGTTTTTTTTTAGTGAATATTTTTAAAATTTTAAACATTTTTTTTACTTTTTTAGATGCACCTTACTTAGATGTATCTAAAAAGTAAAAAAATTGTGAAAAAATATTTTAAAAAATTAATAAATACATAAAAATACAAAAAATGTATTGAATTCTCGTATTTTTGTTATTTTTTTTTTTTTTGTATTTTTGATATTTAGTGAATTTTTAAAAGGTTTTTTTTACAATTTTTTTACTTTTTAGGTATATTTATGTTAGGTATGTCTAAAAAGTAAAAAAAATTGTTTAAAATATTAAAAAAATTCAGTAAAAACAAAAAAATACAGAAAACAAGAAAGTAGAATTTTTTGAAATATGTTTTTAGAAAAGTGTAACCAAGCAAGCTGTTAAAATTGTGTATTTCCGGGTATTGTGTGTACTGCAGCAACATTTTGCCTAATGTAATGGTGCATCTAGAGAAAAGATCTTCTGTATGTCTTAGTGTTCGATCCCTTGCTGCTCGTTATCGTGGCGATTCTCAGTTGGGGCCTTCTCGAAGAGAAATTATATATTGGAACGTGCGTTTTGTTTTGTGTTTTTTAACTTGAATCAACATTCATTTCATGTTATTCTACGATCTACTTTGAATTAACAACTATAGCACTTTCAAAATAGATTGATCATTCTTTTATGTTGTTTTTTATCAGTGTTCTAGGGTTTGGCTTGATTGTTATGGCGCTGTATGCTGTTCTTTGGGGAAAGAACAAAGAAATGAATGCAAAGAACAATGCTGGGGAGGATAGAGAAGAAGAGAAGCAAGAGGTAGTGAAATGTGACTTGGAAATGCAGTTTTCAGGGTTTTCAAATGGCAATCACAATCTTCATACAATCAGAAGTTAAGCAAAGAAATAGTGGCAATGGAAATTAGGTTTCCGTTGTTCATATGATCATCTTTGGATGGGCAGAGCTAGCTAGCTAGTCTTTTTCTCTTATACAAAAGTTTTTTCCAGAAAGAAAACTTTTATTGCTCTCTTGCTGTTTTTGGCAGCTTTGATAGGGCATGGAGTCATGGAGCTAGCAATGAAATAAGTAGTTTATATAACTCCAAAAAAATAAAATAAAATGTTGCATTATATATTAGGAGGAAAACCCACATGGTTTGGTAACATAAGAGAAATAAATGGAACTATTATGCCAAGTTAATTTTGTTTTTAATAAGATCTTCATTCATCATTTCTATGACTGTATTTGGATTTTGAATTTGTGGCAACAAAAGAAAAAATATTGAAAAAGTGATAAAATAAATATCTTATATTGAAAAGTGATAAAATAAAGAACTTGATTTATTTATTTTATGGTTATCCTGTGCATTTCATCCCCACATAAATTACTTTGAAATAAATAAATTGAACTCTATTGTTACAAAAGAAGGGTTGGGTTGGGTTGGATAAATGTATTGAGGACTTACCCAAAAATGGAACACAAAAAGAGCTGGAAGAAAATGGGCAGCGTCATCCTTGGCCTTGTTTTTCTGCGGTTATACGGTGTAAAAAAATACTAATATAACAATTAATGCATGAAAAAAAAAGCTAATCATTGTTCTATGATAGTATTAGATTTTTATGGGTTTAAAATTACAAATAATAATAGAAGTATCAGGTTAATACTGAACAAACATTTTATATACGTAGCCAAGCACAACTTATTACAAAAAAAATGTGTATATATATAATTGTTAAAATTTCATAAGGTAAGATGTAGATATGATACAGGGCCTGCTAGCAACACCTATGACCTTATGGTTTTGATCGAGCTAATAGCAAAAGCAAAGCTAGTAGCCAGCCGCTGATATCTTTTCCTATATAGCATAGCTTCCAAATAGCCCAAAGCTATTATACTATAGAGCTTCCACCCTCCCTGTGCTAAATCAAAGGAGCTACAGAACAACTAAGGTGGTAGCCTTAGATTTAGCTCTAGTAGCTAGGAATTGTGCTTTTAAGATTTGCACAACCACTAAAACGATCACCATTACCACCACCCTACACTGTCTCCACCACCATTATCACTAGCACACCGTTAGCTCATCATTTTTAGAGTTTGCAGATACAAATTTTTGAAACACATTTTCTCGAAAATCATTTTCAGTAAAACAAATGGACCATAAAGTTATCGTTAGTTAAACTTGCAATTAGTTATCGTCACCATTTTGTAATTGGTATATTGCATAATACTTTGGTTAATAATTTCGATTTTTTTTTTTTGGATATTATTGATTAATGATTGAATTATTCAGGTGAGAATGAATGAGAAGTATGCAACACCATACACAACATTAACACTAATATGTTTAACGGCGAATGTTCAATGTGGGATTATCGGTTTCTGTGTCAATCATAATATTTCTGCTTGGTCGTTGACACTCGAGATCTGAGCCCTTTCAAGTATTTATGGGGTATGTATTGTCTGAACTTTAAAGTTTTTAATCGTTATATTTATTTATATTGTCTAGTATCAAAGTAAAATGTACAATTTATATGAAGATGTGACGTTGATTGAGACAGTCACTAATAATACTAATAAAACCTTAAAATTGTGTATTTTTGGGAATTGTGTGTACAATCTACTTTGAATTAACAACTATAGCACTTTCAAAATAGATTGATCAGTCTTTTATGTGGTTTTTTATCAGTGTTCTAGGGTCTGGCTTGATTGTTATGGCGCTGTATGCTGTTCTTTGGGGAAAGAACAAAGAAATGAATGCAAAGAACACTACCGAAGAGGATAGAGAAGAAGACAAGCAAGAGGTAGTGAAAAGTGACTTGGAAATGCAGGTTTCGGGGCTTTCAAATGGCAATCACAATCTTCATACAATTAGAAGTTAAGCAAAGAAATTGTGGCAATGGAAATTAGATTTCACTTGTTCATATGATCATCTTTGGATGGGCAAAGCTAGCTAGCTAGTCTTTTTCTCTTGTACAAAAGTTTTTCCAGAAAAAACTTCTACTGCTCTCTTCTTGTTTTTGGCAGCTTTGACAGGGGATGGAGTCATGTGCTAGCAATGAAATAAGTAGTTTATATAACTCCAAAAAAATAAAATAAAAATGTTGTATTATATATTAGGAGGAAAACCCACAAGGTTTAGTAACATAAGAGAAATAAATAGAATTATTATGCCAAGTTAATTTTGTTTTTAATCAGATCTCCCTTCATCATTTTCTAAGACAATGTTTGGATTTTGAATTTGAGAAGAGATTTGTAGCGATAAAAGAAAAAGATTGAAAAAGCAATAAAATAAATATCTTATATTTTAATCACTTTTATCTTCTTCTTCTTCTTCTTCTTCTTTTTAATTTTTTTTTTTTTGATCTCAATGTACAAATACAATATACTCAATGGGTGTGTGTGATTAGACGAACTGGATAAGAGGAGATTAAAATTCATCGGACTTGAATTCTGAGACTGTAAATCTCCCAGACTATTTAATTAGATTGGATGAGTATCCTGTGTGTGTTTTCTCATGGGATTAAATGTTTAGAAATGAATATTTTTAATGAATCCAATGTTTGGTTGGACGGACTGAATAAAGATAAATGTGCAAAAGACTATTTTACCCTTGTAATTTATAATTTATATTTTTTATTTAGTATATAATTTTAAATTTGTAATCTATAATTTATAATTTAACAACACTAAAAAATTTAATTTATAAGGCTATAATTTTTAATTTATTATTTTTAATTAAATTTAATTTATAATTTATATTTTTTATTTAATATATAATTTTAAATTAACAACACTAAAAAAATACTTTATAAATGTTCAAAAGATTATTTCACCTTTTCCAATTGTTTACTAAGTAACAAGATAAGGATAACATGGACATTTCACACATTAATCCTATGGGATATCAATTCTACGAAAATAATCCCCCCTCCCCCGGGGATTGTTAGTCCCTCATATGAGGGCTATGGAGTCCGTCTTGGACTCCATGTCCGGCGGACTAAAATTAAAACCAAACGATGGACATTTCCCCTCCATTGGATAAGCAATCTGAACAATAAATAGTCCCCCTAATCCAGCAAATCAAACGCACCCAATATCCTCAATTTTATTGTGCTCAAAACCTCCCAAGGCAAAGTTGATCATAGTTGAAGTTATCCAAAAATGATTGAGAAGTCTATTAGAATTAATAAACTTTCAAAATGAAAAAGAAGATCCACAAGTGAAATTAAGTAGCCAAGCAAATAAAAAGGGTTTAAATGAGCTTATGAGCTTCTTTTGGAGGAAAATATCACTTGACATAATGTTAGAAGCTCATTAGTTTGAAAATACATGTTTGAGTTTGAGTGGTCATTTTTCCCATTTCAAATGGGAGCTTATGCTTGTACTAATTTTAGCAGTTCTCTACACTTCAAATTGGTGGAAGTGATTCATTAGGTGATCACTTTGGAAGTACATGTATTTGGACTTCTTATGTGACAATTCACATCATCGCCCCCTCTTAATCTCCTTGTTTGAACTTCTTAGGGCCTAGGGACCTCTTCAAGGTTGGTACCACAATCATGGATGAGGAGGAAACCCACATGGTTTAAAAACATAACAATAATAAGAAGAAAAATAATATGGAATTACTGTGCCAAGCAAATTTTGTTTTTAATTAGATCTCCCTTCCTCATTTTCTAAGGTTGTGTTTGAATTTTAGATTCATCCAGAGATTTGTAGAGATAAAAAAAAAATAGAGAAGGAAAAATTGATTAAAAATTTATCTTATATTTTATTCACTTTTATCTTTTTTTTTCTTTTCGTTCACATTCAAGAAATAAACATGGCATTAATGATGCTCAATATCCCTAGTTTATTGAGCTCAAAACCTCCCCAAGACAAGGTTGATCATAGTTAAAGCACCCCTAAAATGATGGAGAAGTCTATTATTATTATTATTATTATTACACAAACATAACTCTCAAAATGAAAAAGAATATCCAAGATTAAATTAAGGGCAAATTCCACTAACAATCCCCCTATAGTTTGGGACTCGTGACACTTTGGTCCGTAACTTTTCAATTATGACACATTTAACTCTAAATTTTGAATTTTATTCCAAATAAGAACAATTGAAGATACCATTACTCAATTTCAAAGGCAAAGTCAACAATTTGATAAAATACAAACTAATTTGACCAAAAAAAAAAATGTCAAGAAACCATTTTTGAATTTTAAACAATTATTTCTACCCACTAAAAATAAAATTATGTAAAATTAATAAATCTTTTACGTATTTATTTATTTATTTTATCAAATTAATTTTTATTATGTGTTTGAATGATGATTATGTAATGTGTGGTTGTTAGGAATCAATATATTTAATATATGAAATACTTTTAATTTTGAATTTTTTGATTTAATGGATTGGTTTAAAAATGATATCAAAGTTGTTGCTATATTTGAGTTATGGAAAAATATTAACTAATTTAATGAAAATAAAAACAACCATCCATTACATGAACATCATCCAAACACATAATAAAAATTAATTTAGTAAAACAAATAAATAAATGTGTAAAAGATTTATCAATTTTACATAATTTTATCTTTGGTAAGTAGAAATAATTTTTAAAAATTTTAAAATATTTTTTTGACATTTATTTTTGTCAAATTAGTTTGTATTTTATTAAATTGACGACTTTACTTGAGTAATGGTATTTTCAATTGTCCTTATTTGGAACAAGATTCAAAATTCATAATCAAATATGCCAAGTCAGTGACCAAAGTGACACAAAGCCCAAACTATAGGGCCTGTTAGTGTAAGTTACCCTTGAATCAAATTAATAAGCCGAGTAAATAAAAAGTTTTAAAAGAGCATGTGAGCTTCTTTTATAGAAAAATTGAAGAGGCTTCACTTGACACAATGGAAAAAGCTCATTAGTTTGAAAATACAAGTTTGAGTTTGATGGATCATTTTCTCCATTTCAAATGGGAGGTTATGCTTGTGCCAATTTGGCAGTTCCCTCCGCTTCGAATTGGTGGAAGTGATTCATTAGGTGATGACTTTGTAAGCACATGTATTTGGATTTCTTATGTGGCAAGTCACACTTCTCTCAATCTCCCTTTTCAAATTGCTCACTCAGCGAATATCTAACTACTTGGAAACTATTTTACCTCGCTAAAGTTTCGTTTGACTTTCAACTTACACTATGACACTATCATGTTTGGCTATGATAGGAGTAGGGTTA